CATGTCGCATCCGTAATAGGCAGATATACAGCGAAGCTAGCTCAGATCCTTCGCCTAGGATCTCGAATTTCAGTTAATTCGATCCGGAAATGGACATACTTTTCGCTCAGATTCAGGCGGACCTCCGATCAAATGACGCGCTTCGCCAGTCATCGGCGCTTCTTCAGGCGCTGCAGCAATCCGCCGCCGGGCGTGATATCTCGGTGATCGCTAAGTCTGCAGTGGAGGAGATCGTGGCTTCTCCGGCATCTGCTGTTTGTAAGAAGCTCGCATTTGATCTCATCCGATCTACCCGTCTCACTCCCGATCTTTGGGATACGGTTTGTTCTGGTGTCAAAACGGATCTTCATTTCCCGGACCCCGACGTCACCGCCGCTGCCGTCTCCATCCTTGCTGCTCTTCCGTCCTTCTCTCTTCCTAAACTGATCTCTGATTGCAGCAGTGAGATTGCTTCCTGCTTCGATTCCACATCTGACAACCTTCGTTTCTCCATTACTGAGACACTTGGCTGCATCCTTGCGCGTGATGATCTCGTTACATTGTGCGAGAACAATGTGGGTCTCCTCGACAAGGTCTCCAACTGGTGGGCTCGGATCGGCCAGAACATGCTCGACAAATCCGACGCTGTCTCCAAAGTTGCCTTTGAGTCCGTAGGCAGACTGTTCCAGGAATTTGACTCTAAGCGAATGAGCCGTCTTGCTGGCGACAAGCTCGTTGACAGCGAGAATTCTTTGGCCATCAGGTCCAAGTGGGTGTCTTCCATGGTTGACATTGTATGGAAAAAGAGGAGTGCTTTGATGGCTAGGTCTTTAGTTCTCCCCGTTGAAACCTTTCGAGCCACTGTTTTCCCTCTTGTCTTTGCTGTGAAGGCGGTAGCTTCGGGTAGTGTGGAAGTGATAAGACAGCTTTCCAAGGCTTCCACTGGTGCTGCAGCTAATGCCACGGTTGTGGACTCAAACGCCGAGAAGCTCGTTGGCGTCTCAGATTTGGTTACCCATTTGGCGCCATTCTTGGCTTCCTCTTTGGATCCATCTTTGATTTTTGAAGTGGGAATTAACATGCTGTACCTGGCAGATGTTGCCGGAGGGAAGCCAGAGTGGGCTTCACAGTCCATTATTGCAATTTTAACGCTCTGGGACCGCCAAGAGTTTTCTTCTGCTAGAGAGAGTATAGTCAGGGCGGTCGTCACGAACCTGCACTTGCTTGATCTGCATATGCAGGTATGTGGTTTCTTTACTTCTTTCAATCTTCATTTAAGTTATCGATTGGTAATGGTTGTGTACATATGTCTTTAAGCTGTGACCCATGATTCGTGAACCATTCCTTTTGGAACTTGTTACATGAAGGTCTCTTTGTTTAGAAGACTGCTGCTTATGGTGAGAAACTTGAGAGCAGAATCAGACAGGATGCACGCACTGGCCTGTATCTGCCGGACAGCTCTGTGTGTTCACCTTTTTGCTAGAGAAAGTGCCCGAAGAGGTCAAAAGCCTCTTCCTGGGACAGATATTATTTCTCTCTTTGAGGATGCAAGGATAAAAGATGATCTCAATAATGTTACCAGTAAAAGCCTATTTCGGGAAGAACTTGTGGCAATGCTTGTGGAAAGTTGTTTCCAGTTATCTCTACCTTTGCCTGAACAAAAAAACTCGGGTATGGAGAGCAGAGTGATTGGTGCACTAGCATATGGCACTGGTTATGGTGCTCTGAACTGGACCGAACCAGCCCTTGAGGTTGTGGAAGTTTGCAGGCCTTGTGTCAAATGGGATTGTGATGGCAGGACGTACGCTATAGATTGCTATTTGAAATTGCTTGTTAGGCTCTGCCATATCTATGATACCCGTGGAGGTGTGAAGAGGCTTAAAGACGGTGCTTCGCAGGATCAAATCTTAAATGAAACGCGATTGCAGAACTTGCAACGTGAGCTTGTTAAGGATCTCCTCGAGGTAATTAAGCCTTAGCTGAATGTTACAACTTTCATCTGTGTATTTTTATTTTTTTCTTGGAGAGGTGTGGTTATGTATTTGTTTAGTTTCTTATTTTTCTCATGTATACATCTTGATCTCAATTTGGCAGGTAAATACCCCAAGAATCCTTGGGCGGCTTATATGGACAATCGCAGAACATATCGATCTAGAAGGTCTGGATCCACTTTTGGCTGATGACCCCGATGATCCATTAAATATTATCATAGCAAATATACATAAGGTTCTCTTCAACTTGGATGCTACTGCAACTACGTCAAATAGGGTACAAGATGTTCAGGCAGTCTTATTATGCGCCCAGAGGATGGCATCACGTCATGCAAGAGCTGGCCAATTAATAATCAAAGAGCTTGAAGAGTATAGGAACCATGCTGCGGCAGATACAGTTAGCAAACATCAAACCCGTTTAATATTGCAGAGAATCAAATATGTTTCAAATCTTCCTGAAAGAAAGTGAGCTTTCTCCTTGGCTTGTAATGATTTCTATTGCATTTTTGGATTGGAACAAACTCAACCTATTGTTTTCCAGGTGGGCTGGAGTTAGTGAGACAAGAGGGGATTACCCATTCAGCCACCATAAGCTTACTGTTCAGTTTTACGAACCATCAGCTGCTCAAGACAGAAAATTAGAAGGCTTAATTCACAAGGCTATTCTAGAGCTTTGGAGGCCAAAGCCCAGTGAACTAACTCTCTTCCTTACAAAAGGGGTGGACTCGACTTCTATCAAGGTTCCTCCCACAGCATATCCTTTGACTGGGAGCAGTGATCCTTGCTATATAGAAGCTTACCATTTAGCAGATACAAATGATGGAAGGGTCACTTTGCACTTGAAGGTTATTGATTTATATTCTAGTGTATCATCCTGCAGTTTACATGAATACAGATTTGTTGGTAAAGCTTAGCGTCTCAACACTTTTATGCTGTTTTTCAGATAATTAATTTGACAGAACTTGAACTGAATCGTGTGGATATACGGGTTGGATTATCTGGTGCCCTATACTTTATGGATGGTTCTCCTCAAGCAGTGCGCCAGTTGCGTAATCTCGTCTCACAGGTTGCATTTCAGTCTTCAGTGCTTATATACTCCCATCTCTTTACAGTTCTGTAATATCTTAAGCTTTTTTTCTGCTGAGAACCATTTCTGTTCTTTATACCTAAATCTACAGATTGTTCGGTTTCATATTTGCTAATTGTATTACCATCCACTCTTTGCTTTACTCTTGTAGGATCCTGTACAATGCAGTGTCACCGTTGGTGTGTCCCAATTTGAAAGATGTGGTTTCTGGGTTCAAGTCCTTTACTACCCATTCCGTGGCGGTAGAGGAGATTATGAGGGTGATTATATAGAAGAGGACCCACAGATCATGAAGCAGAAAAGAGGTTCAAAAGCAGAACTCGGAGAGCCTGTGATCTTAAGATGTCAGCCTTACAAGATCCCACTGACTGAGCTTCTTCTTCCACACAAAATCTCACCAGTTGAGTTCTTTCGCTTGTGGCCTAGCTTGCCAGCTGTTGCAGAGTACACTGGCACATATATGTATGAAGGAAGCGGCTTCATGGCTACCGCTGCACAACAATATGGTGCTTCACCATTTTTAAGCGGACTCAAATCATTATCCTCGAAGCCGTTCCACAGAGTCTGTTCCCACATTATACGCACAGTCGCTGGCTTTCAGGTGAATTGATAGTTCCAATGTGTTCTTCTCACCTTTCTTCTTCCCTAGCTGGATTATTGGTGATCTGGTAAAGCCTAACTTGATGTCAATACAGCTTTGTTACGCTGCAAAAACGTGGCATGGAGGTTTTGTGGGTATGATGATCTTTGGGGCTAGTGAAGTGAGCAGGAACGTGGACCTGGGTGACGAGACAACCACCATGATGTGCAAGTTCGTGGTTAGAGCCTCAGAAGCATCAATCACAAAGCAAATAGAGTCAGATATTCAGGGATGGTGCGATGATCTAACAGACGGGGGCGTTGAGTACATGCCAGAGGATGAAGTGAAGGCAACAGCAGCTGAGAAACTGAAAATCTCAATGGAGAGAATAGCTTTGTTGAAAGCAGCTCAGCCGAAAAAGACTCCAAAGACAGAGGAGGAAAC